CTCAGCTGCTGTTCTTCCCAAAAATCCTTCCTTGGGCCGCTCAGCCCTTTCATCCATGTGTCTCTTGAATCCCAGCATGCCACGCTGCGTGTTTCTCCCTCCCTTCCCCCGAACATCCACTCCCTGTTTGCCTTCTCCACCAGCACAGAGGCTCGCTGGGAGCCAAATGCTCTGGCAGCACTTCCACCAGCAGGTGGAGGCCATCAGACATAGAAATCAGCCACCACGGTCTTCGCCAGAGACTGGGAGAGCCCACACTGTCTTCAAAGAGATTGGGACCAGAGCATCACTTGCAAAAGCAGGGCTTCCAAGACTTCTGTTCAAGCACTAACCACCAGCTTTTCTCGCTAAGGGAGCAGTGGTGGGGAGAGGTGCTGGCAGCAAAGCCGAGCCAAGCCCTCGGCAGAATGGGCTGCCAGCAGCAGAAAGGGCTTAGGACCAGAGCAGTTTCCTTTGCGTGCAGTAAGCTGAAATCCAAGCCAGCCATTGCAAACCGCTCGAGCCCAGCAGCTTCCACAGGAGCCCTGGTCTCAAAGTGTGTCCCCAAAAGCAGCAGTGCCCTCCAAGCCCTGGGGTGTCTGCTGTTCAATCATGGCAGAGACAGTACCACCATGCCAGCAGGCCCATGCTCACCAGTCTCACAGTTGGCACCTCTGAAGCCTGGCAGGCACCTGCAGCTGAAGTTGCCAGCGCCGTTGAAGCACGTGGCTCCATTCTGACAGGGGTGGGAGAGACACTCATCCACATCTGAAACAGAGCCCCAGGTCTGGGCATGAGCTCAGAGCAAGGACAGACAGTAAGAGCGAGACCTGCTCCCTGTGGCAAAGCACCGGGAGCTCTGGAATGACACTCACCAATATGGCACCTCTTTCCGGTAAAGCCAGCCAGGCAGGAACAGGTGTAGGAGGGGTTCCCCGTGATGCAGTCCTCAATACACTTCCCCCCATTCAGGCAGGGCCGCAGCGTCAGGCAGACAGAAGCTGTGGGAACAGGCGGTGCTCCCTATCAGACTGCGCCCTGGCAGGGCTTACTCACCACTTTCCAGCCATACCAGCGCTGAGGTCTGTCCCCACACCCACCCAGCTCTCCAGGGCACTCTGGGAGCCCATGGGGTCATCCTGCCTCATGCTGGGGCAGGGTCCACTCTTTAGAGGCCCCCCTTGGACAGTGGCTGCAGTTTTATTCCTCCTGTGCAAGGGGGAGAGGCTGCATGGAGTAAGCCCTGCCAGCCAGGGGGACACGGACATGCCCTCACTTATCGCCCACAGCAGAGAGAAAGAGGAATGGGAGAGCCCACGTACAGCAAACCCACCAGTAACGCGAGACACACACAGATTATGGATGGGAAAACACAGCCAGGGGGAGCAGGGATGAGGAACAGGAGGCCAGCAGCTTCACAAGTGACATGTCAGGACCCCTGGGGTGGGAAGCATGGCCTAGCCCTGGTGCCCTGGCCCCGCAGGGGAGGTTAACACTCAGGAACCCATGTGGCTCAGCCCAGACTCCTGGGACTTAGACATGTCCTTCCCCCGAGGTTGCCAGCCCCTCGTGCCCTCCCCTGCCTGGAAGTAGACTGGCAGGGGCCCACCCGTGTGACATCACCTTCTCCCCAACCTCCCTCATCACTCCCCACAGGCTTTTTTCATCTCAAAAGTCTTCCTCCCCATTTGTTCTCCCAGCCACTTCCCAGCCCCAGAGCATCCATAGGTGCTATCCCCAGCCACAGCAGGCAATGAGGACAGTTTCCCCATGGCTGCCTCCCCTCCCTCCCCAAGCCCTTCAAGCCATCTCCTCCACACCAAGGAGGTGGGGGTTGAGGCAGGGAAAGACGGGGCTGGAGAACAGTGTGGGGTTGGGTTGGGAGTGAAATAAACCTAACTGCTGTCCTCTTACTTGTATTGCTGCAGCCCCCCACTTGCACCTGGGCATCATCGATTCTGAACACCCAGCGCCCGGGGATACCCACATTTGTCGTCATCTCCACGTCAGCGATGTCATCGGTGCGAGATCCAGGGATGTTGAAGTAACGCTTTCCATCACCAGCATTAAAACCTGCCTGGAATGACAAGGGCAAAGGGCAGAAAGATATCACTAGTGCACGGGAGAACATGGATGGAGCACGGGCTTGTCTCTCCTGCCACCCAGTGCCAGCACTACTCAGATCAACCATCCCCTTCCTCACACCACCAGCCAGCATTCGGCCACGTGCTGGGATGTCAGCTGGCACAACAAGGCAAAGTAGTGACCCTGCTTGCTCAGTCCCTCCCTTGGGATTCAAAATCCATCCACTTCCCCTCTACCTGCAGTATCCCACCTGCTGCAGGCTGGCAGGTAGGGAGCCAAGCACGGACCAACTGCCAGTAAATTCGCACATCCAAATGGGTACTGGGGTTTTGGTGGGTATGTTTTTTTTTTCCCCTTAAACATGACAATGCACACAAGGATGAAATAAAAACACCAGCAAAATCTGTGCTAGCTGTTGCAGCTGCTCTTAAGGTCTGAGTTTAGGAAGGAAAATGGACTACGAGGCAGTAGTCAAGGCAAAGACCTGTGGTTTCAAAACAAAGCACCCTGTATTGTCTCAACTCTGGGAGCCAGAGCACACACGTATATTAAAGAAAACCTTCAAAACCTCCCAAAAACCAAACCAAACCAAAAAAAACACAAAAAACCACACCAAAACCAAACCAGCCAAACAAAAAAACATGACGAGGCTTTCCACCTCCATAAAACCCAAACCAGAAGCCAGAAGCTTGCAGAGTGGATGTGCTACCTGGAGGTCGTGTTCACTGCTTACCTGTGCTGCAATGCCGCCAAGCCCAGCAAAGTCCCCCCCACTGCTGGCGTGCATACCCGTGGTCCAGGTGATGGACTCATAGTTGAAGATGGTGAAGGAGAGTTTTCCATCTGTGATGAGGACAATCTGGAAAGTGTTTACCTGCAAAAGGGAGGGGAAGAAAGTAGTGAGCAGGCAGGAGCAGGGTAGGCAAACCAGCCAAAAACTGGTCAGAAAAATATAATGATGAGCATTTAGTAAAGAGATATTTCTTTGAGCCTCTTCTCTCCTCTGCTACAGAAGGCATCGGTTTTAATAATTTTTAACTCTTAAGGTATTGTGATTCCCTCCTGCAGCACCCCAGACATCAGAACAGCTTGCTTCTCCTCCTAGGGGAACAGGAAAAATGGAGAAATGTGGTTATTAGACCTCTGGGAGAAATGCACTAAAACCCACCTGTGACCAGCTCCCTGGTACAGCTGCAGGCCTTTAAACACCACCCTACTGCTGCCCAAGAAGGGAGAGCCAATTGGTAGCCTCCACACAGCTCAATAAGGAGGGTTTGACTCTGCCAGCCCAGCACTGCTGTCACAGCAAAGCATCATGACAGAGCCACTGGGGTTGGCTTAGCCCTGCTGACAGCTTCTTGCTGCAAGCAGCAGAGGAACCACCACTGTGGAAGGCACCAAAGCTCCAGTGGGATACTCCTTTTAAAGAAAAGGAAAAAAAAAAAAACACAAAAAAAAACCAAAAAACAAGCTATCCCTAAACTAATGGCTGCTTTGCACCAGCTACTCACCGGTGAAAATGAACTGCCCCCAAAGAAGGTCACTCGGTACCAAGTCGCAATGAAGACCCACTGTGCAGAAAACCCCAGGAACTCAGGGAAATACTGTGCAATGTCCTTGCTCGCTCTCTCCAAGATGGGCTGCTCAGTAGTCTCCCGGTAATACACATCGCCCGCCCGCCGGTTATCCACATCTGCCCAGAAAGCAGCCACCACACGCCGGTCCTTGGAGATGGGGAAAGCCACTGGTGTGAACTGGGAGACCTCCCTCAGGAATGAGATGATGCCATTGTTGTTCACCTGTAGAAAGGGAAGGAAAGAAACAGGCAGCCACAGCTGATTCCTGCCACCAACTGGAATCCATGTCTTCGAGGCACTTTCCCTTTCACCTTTCTTCCCTCCCCACGCTCGCCTCTTTCCACAAATATTAGAGCACTTCCCCTTCCTGCCCTTGGAAGCAGAGACAGGCCCTGGTGCCCACAGGCCCCCCTCCGCCCCCCCTCAACTGCTCACTCACTGGAGTGCAGCTGCAGGGAAACAGCCACCCGAACAAACCCAGCCCTGTTCTACACTGCAGCTGGACCAGGGGAAGGAAGAACAGCTAAAAAAACTGCAATGGCCCCAGCGCTTTAAACAAACAGCACCCAGTGTGTTTGACCAGCTCACACTGGTGCTCTTGGATGGGATGACAGGCTGTTTCACTCCTCTGCTCTCTTATGGCTGATATACAGCCTGCAGGGCTGAGGTCTAGGCCCAGGCATCACCGACACCCTCCTGGCACAGGGAGTTGTACCCAAATCAGGTGGCCACCAGCCCAGGATGGTGGGAACCTTGCTGGATAGAAATCCATCTGCTGGTATGCTCAGTGCCCTGAGCTAATGAGTGGTAAAGCTGAGAAGCTCTTGGTCCCCAGGTGATCAAGTGTCACCATTCCATGCAAAGCCTCTGGTGCTGGCTGAGCCTCGGCAGGCTTCTCTCATTAAAGCAGGAAACGCCAGACGCCTGGGGAGAGATACTGCAAATTCCGAGTCCTTCCCCAGCACTAATTAACTGGGGCAATTAGGGTCCCGGGATGCCTGACACAGGGATGCATGGCAGAGCAGTCCTCAGCCCAGGAAGAAAGCTGGAAATAGTGATGATGCGGCCTGGAGCACTGTCTCCTGGCTTGGGGATGCAGTGAGAGCAAAAACGGGAGGAAAACCTCTGCCTGAACTGCTGCCTAAGCAGGCAGCAAAGGAGTAGGGATTAAGGGGAAATGCTCTTGTCCTCAGCCCCCAAATTCCCAGGAGGAGACTGTGCCATCACCCTGACATACTGGCAAGCCCAGCAGGGTAGGCTGTTCCCAGCTGCTCTGTTCCCCTGACTGCAGTGCTGCCCAGAAGCAACAGCAGACAGGCAAGGAGTGGGCAGCCACCCAGCCCAGTCCCCCTGCATGCATTGCCTGGTTCTAGCAGCCCTGACATGGCAAACCTGTGTGCTGCAGGGTGGAAAGGTGACAGGGCATGGCACAAGCAAGAAGCTTTCAAGCAGAGAGATCAGCCCTGGCACGCAGCAGGCAGGGGCAGGCAGCGGTGTCACACTCGTGTGCCGACAAGAAGCTGGGAGCCAGCCCAAGAGAAGGCATGCCAAATCCAGCAAGTCTGTGACCCAACTGCCTGCACACCCAGGCAGAGTGGGGGCTGGGCTGTGACAGGCCTCATGCTGCCCCTGGGGAGGGTCTCCAGCTCCTCCACGTGAACACAGGGCACTCCTCACTGTGACTAAGGGGAATAGGATTCCTGTTTCCCAAAGCCTCCATAACCCCGTGCTGTTCAGGGAGGAACATTCTTCCTCTGATTAAAGCAAGATGGGAGAGAGCCAGAGCCAAGAAGGACTTTTTTTGTTGTTGCTGTTTTTTGCAAAGGAGGAGGGGATGGCTGGAGGCAGCATTTAAGGACGGAGGCTTCCTCACAGTGAGCCCAGCCCTGTACCAGCTTCTCCAGGACAACGAATCCACAGGGAGGAACAGTTCTGCCATGCAGACCCCCATGCCAGGGGGAGGGCGAGCTGGCCCCACACAGCTGGGGGGGTGCAGGGGAGGGGGGATGCACTGCCTTCTGACCACTGCAGCCTCTCCAAGACCCAGAGCTGTGCTCCAGGTCTTGTATTGGGCAGCCATTACATCACCTGACTTCTCCCAGATTCTTCTATCCTCCTGCCACCATTCAAGCCCCAAGGCCAGGTCCTTCCTGCCCAATGGCAAGACTGGTACTTTTATCAGGGGGAAAAAAAAACCCAAACCCACGAGCGAGGACCAAGGACCTTTTGCACTTAGCCGAGGTGGTAGAACAGTGCACAAGCCCAGCTCAGAGACAGCACCAAGGCGATGCTTAGCCTTCTACTCTACCAGTCTGGCTGGGATCATTGGTCAACCCAGAGCAAACCAGGAAGAAAAGAAGGGACCAGGATGCCAGAGGAGTCACAGAATCACGTGGGAGCTGGTGTAGGGCCCCACAAACCTCACCCCACACCCAGCACCACTCAAAAGGTTCCTGTGACAACCAAGCACTCAGGGCTGCTCCTCTGCCTCATGGCCACAACCATGACAGGCCAGGCGTGATTCAAGCTCTCCAGCCACGGTCCCTTCCAAGTGGCTTGAATGCTTCAACAGAGCACAGCAGCAGGGGTCCCAGTGGCCTGACTGCCCCAGCAGGCGCAGGGAGGAGAGGACAGGGATGTGCCAAGTGGCCAGCCAAGCACACTGCAACACAACCCAAAAGGCAGCTGCGTTTATTCTGCATTGTATGCAGAGCCCTGACACCAGCTCCTCCCTAGCAAGGGCCACCATCCAGCGCTGCAGCATGCCTGCTCCAAGCTCTTATGCTCCAGTGATGCTCAGCTCCCTGCTGCTGGGATCACCAAGGCATGCCACTGCGAGGGCCAGTCCCATAAAGCATAGATATTTCCAGCTCCAGAGAAGGCTAAATCCATGCTCCCTGCTGCAAGTGAGTGCTTCATGCAGCATTCGCAGCACAGTGAAGCCAGGACCCTTGCCAGGGCCAGGACCCTCGCTGCACCACCTGAAGCAGCTCCGGTCTGGCTGAGCCTGGGGCCTCGCACACTTCCTGAGCCCAGCACCCTGCCAGATCTCCTCTCACCCTTAGCACACCGTTATTCCTCTGATGCTCCAAGTAAAATGAGGATTGACAGCCCCCAAGGAAACCCAGACGCACTTCGTCCTATCTGAGCGGAGTAGCAATTTAGAAGCAAAATCAACATAATGAAATTACAAAAAAAGAAATATAAAGCCCTAGGAAAGGCCAACGCCAGTACTCACATAGAGACCAGTGTGCCCTGCACCAAAGAAGGGGAAAGGGACAGAGAGAGGCCGCAGCTCGGAGCCGCCGTCGTCCTGCTTCCGTGTGGCAGC